GACCAAAACATGCTTACATCCACGTCATTATGTCTCTGGTTGAAAGTTGTCTCATTGGCAAACATATTTTATTTTAATATAGGGTATGCTTATATGGTCACCAATACTTCACTTATTGAGCAGTATTACCCATCCTGAATAATGGTGACTGTGTTGATGCGGCAGGTGGATAGAATTTTCGCTAAGTTTTCCTACTGGAACCAGTTCCCTTAGGATACAGTTGGATTATGAGTATCAAAATAAATCTAGTCCTTAACATTTAGTTTATCTGGAGGAAGAGTATTTAATTCCGTTATAGTAATTGGTGGGATTTGCTAAGTCTTTGGTTTTCTACATAATGTTTTGTTATTGTCTGAACACTCGTCTTTTTTTTTGTCATGGTGTTGTTTTTTTGTATTCTGTTTGTAGAATCCTCGCTTGGGATCTTCTCTCCCTTTTTTAAAACACGTGCCACTATACATAGACTTCGTTCGACATTCACCTCAAAAGCTAACCTAACCTTTAAACAGACTTATTCAGGAGGGATATTTTTATGATACTGTTGTTAGATCATTAAAGATGGCATATTTTGGTATTAATATTGATTCACTCATAGGGTCTTTGCATAGCCATAGGAAATAAACACATATATTCTAAAACCAGTTGTTGGCATGATACGGGTTATGTTCTTCTCATATATTTTATGATGGTATGATACTAAACCCCTAACGGGAGGGATTGTGCTTGATTTTCATATGATGAAGACATAATCTTTCAATCAGTTTAATTAAGGTCTGGAGCTGGCATGTCAGTAACTGCTAGTAGTCCCTTGATAATTATGTATCATTGTCATTTTGCTTAGTTTCTTTTGTTACCTATTCTGACATCGGACTCGGATTTCTTTTAAACTGAGTTTTACTGTGCGTATTGCTGTGTGGTTGTTTATTCTACATTGGCTAGAGGTATAGGGCGAGGGTTGAGAGCTCACAAAATATATTTAACCCCGCCACACTTTTGCGCCTGTCCCAAGTCAGGAGCTTCTGACCATTGTTAGTCTTGTATGTTTTTTAATTTTAGTTCATCTATATGTTTTGGAGTTCAGTGTGACGTCCATTTTCATTAAACTAGTACACATTTTGTTTAGGGGCCAGTTGAAGCCCGCCTCCGGGTGCGGGATTTTCTTGCTGTGTTAAAGACCCATTGGTGGCCTTCGGCTGTTTTCTGCTCTATGGCCGGGTTGTTGTCTCTTTGACACATTCCCAATTTCCATTCTCAATTTGATTATAAAAAATAATACTACAAAAAGTTCTGCTAGGCATTTTCATTTACCTGTGTTTAAAATAATTGCAAATGGCTGATATTTTTGTTCGAGCATATTGTTTTTCTTAAATTGTTTAACATTTCATACCGATATAACATGTTACTTTTATTATTCTTCCCTTAGTTTTATTCATTTTGTATTTGCATTGTATCATAGGTCAAATTTATTTGTTCATTGTATGTTCATTGGTGTTGATATGTCCTTTGATTGAGTTAAGCTATTTCAGTTGATAATTTATAGTGTGTCTTTCTATGTTGTGATGTTACACTATTGTTTTAGAAAAAGGGTGAAGGTTTGGTACCATTAAAACGTTTAAACCCGCTGCATTTGTTTGCACCTGTCCTAAGTCAGGAATCTGATGTTCAGTAGTTGTCGTTTGTTGATGTGGTTCATAAGTGTTTCTCGTTTCTCGTTTTTTATATAGATTAGACCGTTGGTTTTTCCCGTTTGAATGGTTTTACACTAGTAATTTTTGGGGCCCTTTATAGCTTACTGTTCGGTGTGAGCCAAGGCTCCGTGTTGAAGACCGTACTTTGACCTATAATGGTTAATTTTTTAAAATTTTGACTTGGATGGAGAGTTGTCTCATTGGCACTCATACCACATCTTCTTATATCTATTTCCTGTGTAGTAGTTAAATTTCACTGAATTCCTCTGGGGATCAAATTCAACAGATTTCTCTAGTGAACACTATCCTAAAAACTCTAAAATTCTAAAAAGGAAACTTAGATTCCTCAGGCAAATTTCAAATCAGATGAATTTGGCACTTCTGTTTAGGTTTCTTTTTTCACTACCCCTTTCAAAATTTCATTCTTTGTACAGCTTACGTTTGGAAACCATTGTTGCAAATTCACATTCAAACCAATACAAACTTCCAGCTTCCATCCCGAATATTGCTAGTAACAGGATTTTTATAGGTTGCAATTATGTAAATATAGACAATGCAAATTCTCATAAACTCATTTTACGGCTAAAACTATACCACTTTTACTATGAAGTTTCGTTAAAAATTATATCCTACAATGGAAAGCTTATATGCACTACTATTTACTCAAAATATAGGGTCTTCCACAGATTTCAATTTGGCTGTTATTCATGTATATGCATACTGGTAACATTCCCAAGTTATGTCTCTACGAAAAGTAGCATATAGATCATATCTGGGAACCAGTACGAAAACAAAACAAATTATCAATGAATATCATATATCTCCCTAAAAGAGGCATGTTTTTTTGACATGAAATGCCTAGAACCTGTATGCAACTATTCTGATAGCAAATTGAAAGCATTTTAGAATACTATATATGTAAAGTTAAGTAGTTAATCATTACAACATTCAAGTTTATATAAAGTATCCAATCCTGCCTCTGTCTCCAGTCCACATCTTACTGTATGCCTATTTATCTATAAAAGTTCACAATTTCTGCTTCAAATGGTCAGTTTACAAATCTTGTCACAATAATATTGTCTCTTACTATATACCTAACGCAATTTTGCTAATATATGGCTAGAAGTGTTTAAACAAAGTCATATTTGCAAAAATATCATGCAAGAATTAACAAATCTGATATATGAATTCACTAAAAGTTTTATAGAACTAAGTGATGGTATCTGTTTCTTTTTTGCATAAATGCAAAGTACAGTTATTGTTTTCTATACAAAAGACCTTTATGATAATAAAATCATAGCCTTTACTGGCTTATTATCTATTTTATGACCCAGGGGCATGGGATTTTTCTCTGTTTTTTTGCCCCTGGGGCCTCAAATTTGCAAAATAATTCTGCTGTTTCTGTGAATATGGAATATTTAGTACATTTTTAGGGATAGAACACACTATTGTTAGTTTTATTGAAGTATTTTTGTATCTCTAGCTGGTATTTTTTAATGCCGCAGTCACAAGAAAGCAAGTTCAGGTGTTACGGCTTATATGTGGGTATTCGACAGGACAAAAAACACCCCAAAAACAATATTCATCAAGGATCTATGAGTTTCAACGACTGCAAAGAGTAACCATAATCACTGCTTTCTCATAGGAACTCCTTTTACGGCTAAAATTGTACCACTTTTACTATAAAGTTTCGTTAAAAATTATATCCTACAATGGAAAGCTTATATGCACTTCTATTTATTTCAAAGGTCAAACTATAGGGCTGTTCGGCAAATTTTCAACATTTATATGCCCCGAACATCTGAGAGTTTTAACTTATACTTAAATTCTGTACTACACCTCCCATCACTTTGGGTCTTCCACAGATTTCAATTTAGCCGCTGTTTATGTATATTTATACTAGTAACATTCCCAAGTTATGTCTTATGAGATGAAACATAGACATCATATCTTGAAATCAGTAAGTAAACAAAACAACATTTCTATTAATATTATATATCTCCCCAAAAATGGCGTGGTTTGTGAAATTATAGGACACTGTATGGACATAACACAAGAACAAGTTATACAAATTAGTTCGAATGGCTTAAGACAATATATTGGTTCGAAACAAAACCAATTAACATAAAAATGATAGACACAAAGCACCGATAAAAGAGTATTGGCAGCTACTGAATGCTACTTTAAGCCAATTACAACTACATGTAATAAATAAATCATGTTCTCCCAGGTTGTAGTATCAATCTGTACACATGAAACGAAGATGTTATAATCAGAATGAACAAAATATTTATGAGTACTTAATATCCAACATCATGTTGATAACTTAGTTTGCATTGCACACGGTCGTGCTTTTCTAGTTTTATACTTTAGTTAGGGAATCATGAATTGTATACCAGTTGTTACTGGTTTTGAACTAGTTTTTAGATACTACTAGAACTTTAAGATCGGTACTATGTCAACTCGCGCAATCTTCTAATTGTTCTACACCTTATCATGTCTAATCGTTTTATATCTTACTATGCTGAATGGGTTTGACTATAGCTAAAGCCCGTATGGTAACCTATATTTGCTTACATAATTTGGACTATGATTGAAAATTGTATCATCGGAAATCACACGACATCTTCTTATTGATTGATATAAATACGTTCCGATAAGAGAAGATACATTTCCCAGCTGACAGATCTCTGTGAAACACAATACCATCAATATATAATTTTTTTATGTGTATTCCTTGAATGCATGTTGGCGTAATGTACATGGGTTTATAATAAAATGCTTAACTGAAGAAAAGTACCAGGAAACACATTTTCTGGATTAGTAGATGTTCATACCAGTTGGTTTCATCGTCTACTAATCAAGACATGAGTGTTTTAACAAATATATAAAAAAAAATTATTTGGCTACTTTTAGGTCCTCTTTGGACGCACGAAATTTATAAAGTGTATTTTTTATTACCACTTGATAATTCCTGATAGAAGTGGACTCCCTCACAATGCTTCGAGGTTTTACATTTGCCTTAAAAAAGCAAACTGTCATGCACTCTACATAAAACATCAATCTAAAAAGAGTAACTGTGAAATGTTAGTGACTTAATTACTTTGATATTTTCTTTATTCGAAAACACCATTTTGTTACGTCTTGCACTAACAAGTACGACGGCAGTTAATATATTGATTCCTAGAGTAGTAATTCCAAAAAGGAACAAACGCGCGTACAAGCTGTGTCATTTATCTGTCAAGAACTTAATGTTCCATAAATTTTAATGTTACAGGATCACCTGATTCCAAAACGCTTGATGTCACATTGATGATCTGTTTGATCAGAAATTTAAAAACAATCAGTTCTCCAATCAATGGATTTGACAGTCTGCCATTACCAGTTGAGACTACTCCAGGATCAGATCTCGCCAGGATAAAATGGTACAGGAATATACTAGCTCATCTGGATGATGGAAAAGTTGACACTTCTTTTTTCATTACAGCATGGAGAGATATAACAGATGTAAGTGTAGCCTTGCAACATATTATGTTTTTTTGCATTTTGCATGGTGAAATTGATTAATTATAAGTAATATTAGGATCAAAAAAATATATTTGAATAGATAAATGGAGGTGGGTGCGACCAGATATTTCTTTTCCATTCAGAACGTAGGACGAGAGACTGAGAGATTACATTGACGGGCATGGAGGTTGATATTGTTGTTACACCTCTTTGCAGAAGAGGAGATATAGGGGTTTGTTTTGTATGAGAATTAGAAGCACATTTGTTACCTTTCAGGGATAGTGTGACTATTATGTGTAACCGCTCGTGGCTGAAAGAACAATAAATGTGCTACCTTTCCTTACTCTAGGAGAGGCAAATATATGTAGGTCTTATTTGAGAGGAGTGGATATATAGATGTTACCTCCAAACAGAAGGGTTCATCCTTTGATCTGTTTCAGAATCATTCACAAACCATTAAGGTTGCATGTTTTTGTTTCAAAGTATTTTCGCACTTGATGTTTCAGCTTCCTTTATTACTTTTTAGGTCCTCTTACCTTTGCTGTGGTTATACATTATTTGTAACCATTAACTACTAAATGATCAAGGATTTTAGAAACATTTCTTTTCAAATATAATTTATGCAAAATATTTAGAAATTTCTGTTATGTCTGAAAATGTATTCATTCAGGTAGACATTAAATTCTTATACTATACGTATTTTTGTCAAAATGCAAGCATATATAAAACATACACTTAGACATTTCTTTGATTTCTGTAGATGATTTATTAAATATTGTATTTTTTCAAAAGATTTTGAACAAGAGAGAAAAAAAAAAAGAAAAACAGCTTTGATATGACATTTGGCAGTAACATGCTTATAATTAACACAAGATAGTTTTAATATAATATATGAGAGCCAAACCAAACATGCATGTACTTGTCGTGATAGTTAATTACATTATTTTGCTCCATCGCATGACGTTAACTTATCATGCATGTTCACACTATACAGACTTCGTCAACAGGGATTTTGAAATGACAAAAAAAAACTACAGTGAGGAGAACGACTAAAATCGACACTTCATAAGTTTGCGATCACCATCAGGAATAAGTTAACAAATACGATGTGTCGGTGTCTCAACTAATCATCATATGAATAATTTTGGGGTAAAAAAGTTGAACATTTTCTTTTCGTGCGTGGCAATTTTTACCCCTGAACGAGCTTAATTTCTAAATCACTTGCGTTTTGCCTGCACTAATTTCGGTAAAATTTTTTATGAATAAATTTTTCAAACGACATGTCATTTATTTACTCTCTGTTTATTTGTTTGTGTTTGAGAAAAAAAGTGTGATAGATATCTTTCATTTAACCTTTTAGAGTCCAATGAATCTTTATGATACCGGAACTAATTGTCCCTATATCCTACTTGAGCAGGATCCAATAGTTTGTTAGTGTACATAGTTCCTGCAAAAAATGTTTATAGAGTAAATCGGTTTAATGTCGGCTATAAAGGTCTTCTTGTTAGTTTTTTTTTTAGCTTTGTATCAATCTGATGAGTCCTTTTCGGAATTTGATAAGACTGTCGTACAAGTGAGAGGTTTAGCGCTATAAAACCAGGTTCAATCCACCATTTTCTACATTTGAAAATGCCTGTACCAAGTCAGGAATATGACAGTTGTTGTCCATTCGTTTGATGTGTTTTGTCATTTGATTTTGCCAGGGATTTTCCGATTGAATTTTCCTCGGAGTTCAGTATTTTTGTGATTTTACTTTTTTTTTCAACTGATTTTTACAATAAGTTCTTACATAATAGAAAAGAAAGGATAAGGGGTATCCATCCATGACACAAAGTCAGTTCACAGCAAAACCACAAAAAGCATTGATGTATGTTCCGCTTTATACCAAGGTCACAGATTTGGCGCCTGCAAACATGGTTATGTATGTGCCACATTCTGTATGTGCCTGTTCCAAGTCAGGAGCCTGTAATTCAGTAGTTGTCGTTTGTTGCTGTGTGACATATTTGTTTTTCGTTCATTATTTTGTACATAAATTATGCCGTTAGTTGTCTCGTTTGAATTGTTTGACATTTGTCATTCCGGGGCCTAGTATAGCTGACTATGTAATATGGGCTTGGCTCATTGTTGAAAGGCGTACGGTGACCTATTATAGGTGTTAATTTCTGTGTGATTCGGCCTCTTGTGGAGAGATGTCTCATTGACAATCATACCACATCTTCTTATTTTTATATTAACCCCGCAATGTATGATGTGAGGCTGTGGCAAAATCATAAGCCTTGATTTCATTCATTGGTCGTCGTTTGTTGTAGTGAATTATATTTGCTTTTTAATTGTTTTGTACATAAATCAATGAAATACCGTTGGTTTTGTTGTTTGGCATTGTTTACATTTGTCATGTCGGATCCTTGTATAGCTTGCAATGTAGTATGTTTTTTTCCTCATTGTTGAATGTCGTAGGTTGACGTATGTTTTATAACATCTACGTCATTTTGTCTCTGGTGGATATCTATCTCATTGGTAATCAAACTGCATCTTATTTTTTGTTATAAATATATGACTGTCTAATGTTCTGGACCATGGATACAAATATTTACTAAAACCATGGTTTCGATCATTCGCAAGCACTATTCACATACATGGATCAAAGTTTAATTATATACCATTTGTTGTCAGAACATTATAATACAAACATGTACATGAAGCTGTGATTATTGTTTTCTCAGATGTAAGCAAACGAAGTTCGCTCCTGTTCATTGCCTAAAGGTCTCCTAAATTTGTGTATATTAATTTTGCTATTCAAGGGATTTTGTGTTGATTGACTTTTTTTTTTGAAGTCTTTGTTAAATTATCTATTTTTCTAAAATTCAGAGCCTGAAATATTGTAAAGACATGTATCCCTTGAGGAAACCAGAGTGTTGACCTAGTTAAGTTTTGGCGTTAATTTGGTTGATGTCTTATTTATAACACACATTTTATTTACACAAATAACTCTGGCAACGCTTTAATTTTTTTTTTACATGTTTATATATATACTTGCTTTCATAACACCCTACGGGACTGAGACAAACAAGCGACCGGACCTTAACCGGCGCATTTGTGTTTAAAATATCCCTCCCTTCCCAAAATATTTACCAGTATTAATCGCATCAAGTCTTATCATTTTCCCATTTGGGAGTTGACCTTAGAAGTATAATTCTATGTATAAAAAAGAAGATGTGGTATGATTGACAATGAGACAACTCTTAACAAGAGACCAAATGACACAGAAATGAACAACTATAGGTCACTGTACTGACTTCAACAATGAGCAAAGACCATACTGCACAGTCAGCTATAAAAGGCCCCGAAATGACAAATGTAAAACAATTCAAACGAGAAAACTAACGGCCTAAATAATGTATAAAAAATGAACGAAAAACAAATATGTAACACAGCAACAAACGACAACCACTGAATTACAGGCTCCTGACTTGGGACAGGCACATACATACAGAATGTGGCGGGGTTAAACATGTTAGCGGGATCCCAACCATCCCCCTAACCTGGGACAGTGGTGTAACAGTACAACATAAAAACGAACTAAAAAAATCAATTGAAAAAGGCTTAACTCATCAGATGGATACACTTAGAAATACATCTAACAAAAACACAGAGTGGACGTGGCTGGGTACTTGTACATCCCAACAACAAAAAGACATTAATTCAGATCTCAGAGTACTCGCAGTTACTGACAGCTAGTTCAAAGTCAATAACAACTAATAAAAAAAAATCATGCATCTAAGACTAAGGCCAACTAGAAGTAGAATTCTTAGGTTAACCTATATAGGGGAAAAATACTTGATACGATTAATGCAGGTAATTTTTGGGAAGGGAGGGTTATATCTTTTGTAGTCAAAATTTCACTGTACAGTGCTGGACGATAGCGTGATAAGAAATTCGACGTATGTCTATTCATCAATCCACCCCTCCTTTATCATGTTTATACTATTCAAGCTATAGACCCGGGATAAAAGAACATTATAATTGATAGAAAATAAGTCATTTGAATAAACATATTTTCAGAATTTTTCATGCTTTTGATATGTATCAGTTAATAAGTACTTATCTTTGGGAACAGTATATCTATATATGTTCCTGCTTATCTTTTAATTTAATTTGTGTTTACTACAGACAGAAGCATATAAGCGATCCTTGATACATGTACATGTTTTTATGAACGTAACATTTGTAAATGGCTATGCACAATCACGACAGCGACTGTGTGGTATACTTGATATAACGTTTTAAAATAAGTTAAATCACGACTTGTGCATTTTATACAGAAACTGATTAAAAATACACTAACAAATTAGTTATGAATACGAAAGTTAAAATAATTTTTATATATCAGTGCTGCAAACACAATAAATAATAAAGACAGAACAAAACTCAATAAATTTGAATAACTTTTTCGTTTGACCTTGCGTCATTGAAATAATGATTCAACACTTCACTATCAACTTGAATGAACACTTCACTGTCATTTTCATTACCGAGTCGGCCACAGACCACAATTAAATTACCCTATTAGTTCTTTATAACGTTTTGTTTCATTAAAAAAATTTACCATGCATTTTTGTCAAATCTTTTGTGTGTGTAATGTATATATTAACCCAAAATATATATCCAAAATTCAGAAAGATTGAACCAATCAGTCTTACAAATTTAGCCAATACACATCCATACCCCTATGGACAAGTCAAGAGATGTTCCGAAAACTGTAAATATCACCTTTTTGCACCTGGCCTAATCACTCTTTCCATATCAAAATCAGTTAAAAATACAACATCTAAAAGTTTATTTCACCTCTCTTCTTTTATTTCCAGCCAAAAAAAACTAAGAAATGAGTGAAGAAGGGAAAGAAAAAAAATTAAGAAAAAATACACTCTAATTAAAAGGAACTATATTCGTGGACAACGAAAAAAGCGGGATCATTAATTGTGGTCTTGGGCCAGTCACAT